ATACCATGTTTTTGTGACCTGGATGGATTATTATGAGAAAAAGGCAAGATGGTTTAACATTAATTTTTTCTCCCATGTCCGAACCAGGCCTCCCAGATGTTTGGAACTGTCCCTGGAGTTGTAGCCCTTCGCTACCTTCTTCCTTCTGAGGGATCCCGAAACCTCTATCATGGAGAAGTACCACGTTTTGGAGATGATTGGAGAAGGCTCTTTTGGGAGGGTGTACAAGGGTCGCCGAAAATACAGTGCTCAGGTGGTGATTTCTTGAGTGGGATTTGCACCCCCAACTCTAGTAAAAAATGGGGCTATAAGGGAAGCATTCATATCAAGCAATCTTGTCATCGATTCCTTCATATTCTTACGGAGTATGGGCCCCGAAGTTGGAATAATTGGATTCAGTTTCTAATCCCACAACTTTCTAGCTTTAGGATTATAGACAAGTCACTTAAATTCTCTGTTTCAGTTTCTGAATCTATTGAATGGGAATGAGAACTGTATTTGATGGAGTTTGAATATTAAATGATGTTGCATTTAGTGCCTGGTATCTAGTATGTAACAAATCATCATCCTTATTAATTTCTGACAGACTGATTAATCCGACACATTATTATTATTATTAATCTCTGCTGCAGAAAGAAGTAAATCACCTGAATTCTATAATTCCCTATATATTTTTTCTTCTCTTTCCTATAAAATCTTCCCCTTAAGTCTTGAGTTTCTTACCCAGATGAGAGCATCTCTTCCAGAATCTACTGAAGCTATCTGTTTGGCAGATGCTATTTCTCCAGGGGTCAGGGCTAGGGCAATCCTGTGTAAGGCTAGGGTACCATGGGAAAGTAGTGGGAACAGTTACAATAAGAATTATTCAAACAATTTGAAGTCCAAGTCATGGACCTCTGAGGTTAATGTTGAAGTTCTTTCAATAGTATTGTTAGACATTTTTTTTAAAGATTTATTTATTCATACAGAACTGGGTACAGGCCAGAGGTGCAGGTGTGGTGAGAGGCTTCACCAAAGACAGAGTGGGGGGCAGAACAGGCAGATTGACTTAAGTACACTGCACAGGGGAGCAGCACGTGGGTCCGCCACACCATGTGGATCACCTCCGGGGCTGGGATGGAACTTGCACTAAAGCAGCTATGGCTAGCCTGCAGTGCTCGCTATTGCGCCACCAGGGAGGGTCCCAGTGTTGTTAGACTTTGACTCTTAACACTCACTGACAGGTGGTGGCTCTGAAGTTCATTCCAAAATTGGGACGCTCAGAGAAGGAGCTCAAGAATCTGCAACGAGAGATTGAAATCATGCGGGGTCTCCGTCATCCCAATATTGTGCATATGCTTGACAGTTTTGAGACTGACAAAGAGGTGTGTTTTAACAGTTTGGGGTCACTTCCCTCTGAACATGAGGGTGCCAGCAGTCTTCCAACTTCAGATTGCATAAAGCTGGGGCTATCCATTCATTGCCTTTTTCCTACAGGTGGTGGTGGTGACAGACTATGCTGAGGGAGAGCTCTTTCAGATCCTGGAAGATGATGGAAAACTTCCCGAAGATCAGGTATGCTTCCTGGCTCAAACTTCTCCCTACCCCTGGCTTCTCTGCTAGTTAAGGACTGGTAGATGGAATTGAGGGCATTGTTTTGAAGACTCCTGTCCTCAAAGTGTAGGTGGATATAGGGATGCTATGGTGTATGCAAACATTGGAACCAAAATTTCTGAATACAAAGGGTGGCTTGTCACTTATTAGCTGGATCCTTTTGGGCAATTTTAACCACTTGGTGCTTAAGCTTCTATAGTTGTAAAGTAGAGGTAATAATATTTACTTAACAAGGCTTTTGTGAAGATAGATCAGTTGATTCACATAAAGTGTTTGAAAAAGTGTCCAACACACTAAGTATTTAGCTTAGCTAGCTAATCATTTTGTTGTTAGGCACCAGTGTGGTAATACCAGAGAAGACAGAAAGAAATAAGGGTTGTGGTTAAGGCAGGACTTGTCTCCACGACACAAGGATTATGTGGGATTTGAGCGCCTTCTTTGGCCACACTCATTCTAGGGATTTCTCTGTACTCTAGCAAGTAAACTTTCTTGAAGACTTATCTTCTGTGCGCTCATATTTATTTATTTATTTATTTATTTTAAAGATTTATTTATTTGTGCATACAGAACTGGGGTACAGGCCAGAGGCTTGGGGCGGCGAGAGGCTTCACCATAGACAGAGTGGGGAGCAGAACAGGCAGATCGATGAAGTACACTGCTGAGAGGAGCAGCGGGCGGGTCAGGAGAGGTCTGCCACGCCATGTGGTCTCCTCTGAGGCAGGAGGGAATGGAACTCATGCTGAAGTGGCTTTAGCTTCTCAGTGCTGTGCTTTAACCCGCTGTGCCACCAGCGAGGGCCACTGAGAGCTCATATTTATAAGTCATGATACTTGTTTTGTGTCTGACTCTTTCCCTTGAGAAGAGGTATATGTCAAATACATACTAAGTGCCAGACACCATTCTGAGAATTACATTATTTTATGTGCTTTAACTGATTTAATCTCCACAATGAGGTAGGTGGTCTCATCATTGTCACTTTATAGACATTGAATCTGAGAGACACGAGATAAGTTGCCTAAAACCAGTAAGAAAGACTTTACTTAAATGAATGGGTGAACAAAGAAAAGAAAGAATGAGTAAAGGGAGAAGTACTAAAGAAGGTATTGTGTGAAATTCTAGAAAACAGGGAGGGTACAGAACGTCTGGCTTCGGCAGAGACATCTAAGGAGCCTTGAGACTTGCCAACAGGCCCCTCCCTCCGCCTTTCCCTGTGTCTTTTCCATCCGCTGTTTGATCTCTAGGTTCAGGCCATTGCTGCTCAGTTGGTATCAGCCCTATACTATCTGCATTCCCACCGCATCCTCCACCGAGACATGAAACCTCAGAATATTCTTCTTGCCAAGGGTGGTGGCATCAAACTCTGTGACTTTGGGTGAGGAGCCTGACCTTCTGTCTCTGCTTCTCATTCTTCAAGGACTCTGAGACCATACCTTTGACTTTCGTGGGCCTCGTTTTAGAATCTGAGCTGGAGACTGGGGCTCTTGTTGGGTCCTTTGGAAGGTGCTCTCTGTTTGGGTGTGGGGTACCTCACACGATGATAGTGACCAGTTCTAGTTTTCATGGACTATTTTCTCTCTTTCCGTTTCCTTCCGTCATCTGCAGATTTGCCCGGGCTATGAGCACCAACACGATGGTGCTAACATCCATCAAAGGCACACCGCTCTATATGTCTCCAGAGCTGGTGGAAGAGCGACCGTATGACCACACTGCGGACCTCTGGTCTGTGGGTTGCATCCTGTATGAGCTGGCTATAGGCACCCCTCCCTTCTATACCACAAGCATCTTTCAGCTGGTCAACCTTATCCTCAAGGACCCTGTGCGCTGGCCGCCTACCATTAGTCCTTGCTTCAAGGTAATCAATATAGAAAAGGACATTACTTCTGTACTAGAAACCTTTTCCCTCTGCCCCTCTTCCCTTCTCTACTTTTTAAAAAGATTATTTACTTATTTATTTATGCATAAAGAACTGGGGTACAGGCTAAAGGTGCAAGGGTAGTGAGACAATTCACCAGAGACAGAGTGGGGAGTACAACAGACAGACTGATGAAGTACACTGCTGAGGGGAGCAGTGGGAGGGTCAGGAGAGGTCTGCCGCGCCATGTGGGTCACCTCTGGGGTTGTGGATCACAGTCGTGCTGCAGAGACTACGGATAGCTTCATAGTGCTGCACTTTAATCCCTTGCACTACCAGGGAAAGTTCCTTTTGCAAAATTCTTTTCCAGGTCTAGGGCAGGACTTTGCAGTTACTGAGTCAATATAAAACTGAGCGAAGTCATAGGAGCTTGTTCCAGAGGGTGTTCTCATGTCTGCCAAACTTGAGCAGTCCCTCCCTGAGCTTGTATATTATCACAATGGAAAGAGAATTTCAACGTACCATTGATTGTTTCACATACTCTCTATTCTACTTATTTCCTATCAGATGCAGTATCCAGTTGATAGCTAGATTTACCCAGTTTTCCTCTTCCTGAAAGAAGATACCCAAATGGTCTGAATTAGAGGGATTAGTTGAGCGATTAGGGCAGATGACAAGAGGTGGTGCCTGCTCCTTGCCGCTAAGCCTCAGCAGACTCACCCTTTTCATTTTTTATCTAGGGCAAGGTTTGGGCTTTTAGTGGATTTAAATACAATCTTCTCCTAGAGTGAAATTTAATTATGACTTCTCTTTAAGGTTAGAAGGGACAAGTTTTTCCCCAACCTTCTTGGTTGGGTCAGCTAATTTTTAAAAATTTATTTAATTATGCATACAAGAGCTGGGGTATAGGACAGAGGTGCAATAGGTGAGAGGATTTACCAGAGGCAGAGTGGGGAGCAGAACAAGCAGATTGACTGAAATATACTGCTGAGGGGAGCAGTGGGCGAGACAGGGGAGGTCTGCTGTGCCATGTGGGTCAGCTCCCTGGCTGGGGATTGTACTCATGCTGTAATGGCAGCTGATAGCTTCATAGTGCTGAGATTTAACCCCTTGTGCTACCTGGAAAACCCCAAGTAATAATTGACAAGAACCTAAACAATGGAAACCTAAGTAGGTGACGTACCTCAGATAGTCGTTCTATTGTAGGGTAGACAAGCTGGGAGCTTCAGCAGAGCCCTGGTAAACTAATCATTTTATTTTACTTAAGTTCCTTTTTAAAAAATATTTATTTGTGCACATAAGAACTGGGGTGCGGGCCCTCCCTGGTGGTGCAGCGGGTTAAAACACAGCACTGAGAAGCCAAAGCCACTTCTGCATGAGTTCGATTCCTGCTTGCCCCAGAGGAGACCACATGGCGCGGCAGACCTCTCCTGACCCGCCCGCTGCTCCCTTCAGCAGTGTACTTAGTCGATCTTCCTGTTCTATTCCCTACTCTGTCTCTGGTGAAGCCTCTCACCGCCCCTGAGCCTCTGGCCTGTACCCCAGCTCTGTATGCATAAATAAATAAATCTTTAAAAAAAAAAGAACTGGGATGCAGGCCAGAAGTGTTAAGAGGACTCCCCAGTGACAGAGGGGGTTGCAGAACAGGTGGATCCACTGAACTCCACTGCTGAGGGGAGCAGTAGGGGGACAGGAGAGGTTCTGCTGCTCTATGTGGGTCAGCTCCCTGGATGGGGTTCGAATTCGGCCGCCGTAGCTGCTGATAGCTTCATAGTGCTGACACAACCCCAGCACCACCAGGGAAGCCCTAATCATTTTATTTTAGAACCATGGTCATAGTCTGCTAGTACTTACTATTCCTGTTCAGGCTCAACTGAAGGTTTCCAAACCCGAGAGTAGCTCATAATCTGTACCCTTTTCAGAGTCAGGCTCCTTACCCCTCTAGCCATCTTGAAGATGCAGAAGATTTGTTTTTGAGTGCTCCCAAATACGTCTTTACTCTGACATGTGTGAGTGTGTTTCAACCGCACCGTTTCTACCTGCTGCAAACAAACTACAGTCAAAGGGAGGGCAGAGTAAGCAGTTTGGGACTCCTTTGCAGGTTTGCTTTCTGAAGATGAATGTGAACTTGACAGTCCTCTCTCCCATTTCTCTCGTTTCTTCACATAGTTGGTGACACTGAGATTTCTATTTTTACTTCTGGGATTTTAAAGTATCCAGGACAGGCATTAGCCTCCCCAGGAGGTGAGGTAGTGATGTCTGATCACTTCAGCCATGGAAAGGAGGCCTCCGAGAGGGGTGATCAGGACATAGCCAGTCTGCACTAAGCATGGACTTAGGACTCTTGGTTTGGTGGTTCTGCTGATAGGTTAGAGAGGGCCTACAGGAAATGAAGACTGATGGGCTGTTTCTTCTCTCTACAGAACTTTCTGCAAGGACTTCTCACCAAGGACTCTCGGCAGCGTCTGTCTTGGCCAGACCTCTTACATCACCCCTTTATTGCTGGTCGTGTCACCAGTGAGTCATCAGGATTCCCAGGGATCCTGTATTTCCCTCATGCTCTCCCACTTATATCCCATCTTCCCCCCAAATCTGAATCCCACACACCATCTTTCACTCTACCAGTTTGAACTTTCTTCGTAGCCTTTTGCTGAACCTTTATCACTTCTCTCTCTAACCCCCCTTCCTCTTAGTCATTTTGTCAAAATGGTCTCATTCCACAAAGCCTGGACACACTGAAGTTGCTCTGGTAAGGGGCCATGGTGGCACAGCTCCAGTGTGAATATGTCTTTCCTCTCTCCCTTCCTGGCAGTAATAACGGAACCAGCTGGCCCAGATTTGGGAACACCATTCACCAGTCGCCTACCTCCAGAACTTCAGGTCCTGAAGGACCAACAGGCTCATCAGCTGGCCCCTAAGGGCAGTCGATCTCGTATCTTACGACAAGCCTGTAAGCGCATGGCTGAGGAGGCCAAGCAGAAGGTGTGTGGGACACTAAGAGGGAAGTCTGTGACATGACTAGGCTAGTTAGTAACTAGGGGAATCAGAGAAGGTAGGTGACTTTCTAGGGTTCACACTGCCAGTGGCAGCCAAGTAGTTCTGCCTACTTTCTACAGAAACATCAGGACACAGGGCCTGCTGTTGATCGAGAAGAAATGATCAGCACGGTGACTTCTGATACTGTCCCTCCGTCCAAACTGAAGAGCACGCCTCAGGAATCAGGCCTCTTGGCTGGGATCTTGGCTTCAGAAATGAGGAGCAGCTGGGCTGAGTGGGGGGCTGGAGAGGCCCCCCCTGCACCTCGGTGAGGAGGGTATATCCAGAGGTTTATAGGACGAGGGATCTTGCAGATCTTTAGCTCTGGCCAAAGCAAATACATGATGGTCCTATCAACAGACACTGCCTAAATATATATAGGACCCTTGAAGTGTGGGTCACGGGTGGTGGGTTCTAATTCCAGATACTTTCCTGAATTAGTGGGAGCCGACCTTTCTCTGTGGTTCAGTTACACAGTAACTAAAAGGGAAAGAATCATCTCTGTGCAAAAGGAAAGATTATTTGAGTTGAGAAACACAGGTAAAAACTGCCAAGGCAAACTTAGGAATAAGATCCAAAGTGAGAGGACAGTGGCAGCTAAGTATGTCGTGATCAATGGATTATGTCTCTATCACATCCTGGAAGGAACTCTCCTCAATCTAGGGCTTGTTCTTCATTCCTCTTTCCTGGGCCCAAAGGGAGGGATGAATGAATGAACCCTAAGCCTCACTCATCCTGTTCCTCTGGTAGGGAAAGCAGGATCATCCAGGACTGTGAACGAACATTCCCAGAGTTAAGGCCAGAGGTGATGGGCCAGCAGAGCGTGGAGGCTGTGGACCTAGAAAATGAGGTGAGCCTGAGTTCCTGCCCTGGGATCTTGACCTGATCTTGTTCCTGCCATGGATTTGGTCTGAGTAATGTTTTCGATAACTGATTCCCAACACTCCCAATCTGAGTTCCTGTTGTGTTAAAAATGCTTTCTAATTTAGTTTATAGATTTTAATTGCATGGATCTGAACATGTAACTATCAGAAATTAGAATACATCGGTAAAAATGAAAGTCTTTGAGCCTTCCTGTGTCTCAGTGGTGTCTTCTGTTGCTTGTTTAGTCTGTCTCCTTCAGAACTTGTACATATCTGTGTATACACTTGCATAAATAAGTAGATTGGCTGTTACTACATTATTGAGTTTATTCCATATAAACTCATACATTATTGAGTTTCATTTTGCATCCTCTCTCTCACCATGTGATCTGTTTTAGAGAACTTTTTAGACTGAACATGTAGTCTACCTCAATCACTTGTGGTTTTTTTAGGGTTTTAACTTTTTATTTTGAAATAATGTCAAGCTTAAAATATCATTGTCAGTGTGCTACAAAGGATTCCTCTATGTTCCTTCATGCAAATTCACCAATTGTTAAATTTCTGCCATGTTTACTTTGTGATTCACACTCTCTTTCTCTCTCTATATATATAGACGCTTTTCTTTTCTGCGTTATTTTAGAGTAAGTTGCAGAATGCCGTTTTACCCCTGTGTATGTTAATGCATATTTCCTATAAACATTGCTCACTCACTTGCATAAACATTGTACAGCTTTAGAAGTCAGAAATTTCACATTGTTATAATTCTGTTACTTGGCCTAGATTCCACATTCAGATTTTGCCAGTTGCTCTGGTAATGTTTATAGCAAAAGAAGACTCATTTTCCTGGTCCCTAATGCATTCCAGTGTTACTCATTGAAGGAGTTGTTGTATGTTATTTGATTCCTTTAACCTAGGAACAGTTTCTAGTCTTTCTTGGTCTTACATGACTGACAGAATTGAGGTGTATAGGCCAGTTATTTTGCAGGATGTTCCTGAAATTGAAGTTCCTCATTACTTGATTCAAGTTAGGAATTTTGGACAAAAATACAACATAAGTGGTGTGTCTTTATTATCACAATCATCCTGGCACAGATATGCCAGGGGTTATTCTATTGCTGATATGCTTTTTTGATGTTTCCATTTTTTAAAATCACAAACCATGCTGCAGTGAATCTCTTTCTCGATACTTCACTTTATGCACAGAGGTCAGCCTTTTCCAAAAGAGTTCAAGACCTCTTGCAAACTGTCAAATGTACCTTTTTAAAGTGGTGGCTGAAGAAAACACATTGGCGCCAGATACACTGGCTCTGGTTACTTCACGATTCCCAGGTTGAAAGCTACTGCTCTTGAGCCCCGCAGACTCCTCCTGACCTCTCTCACCCCCATGCCTCAGGACCCAGACAGTGATGATGAGTGGGAACACCTCCTGGAAAGCACCGAGCCTGTGCCTGTCCAGCTGAAGGCTCCTCTCACCTTGCTGTGTAACCCTGACTTCTGCCAGCGCATCCAGGGTCAGCTGCTCGAGGCTGGAGGGCAGGTAATGGGCAGGTGAAGGCTGTGGATGGGATAGAGACTATTTTCACAGAAGAGGCGTTAAAAACAACAAAAGGAGAAACAGAGTTGTCTCTTTCCAGTTCCCTTTCAGTCGTCTGTTTAATGCAGGGAGGTTTGTTAACTTCTAGTAACACTAAAAGAGCAGGCGTGGGGTTTCTCTTCCCGAAGGGAAGAGTAGGGGTCCTGTCTGCCTAGAATTGATCCACTAACCACATGATGCAAAACAGCTTTTCTGGTAGTAAATATTTTGGGCATTGTGGACAAGAGGCAAAATCTTTCTTTGTAGATGAAATTAAAAACATGGATGTAATAAATAAGCATACAATATGTTGTAATGCAGATCTATGAATGAGAAGAATGAGATTTTTTTTTAAAATTTATTTATTTGTGCATACAGAACTGGGGTACAGGCCAGAGGCTCAAGGGCGGTGAGAGGCTTCACCAGAGACAGAGTAGGGAACAGAACAGGGAGATCGACTAAGTATACTGCTGAGGGGAGCAGCGGGCGGGTTAGGAGAGGTCTGCCACACGATGTGGTCACATCCGGGGCAGGTGAAATCGAACTCATCCAAAGTGGCTTTAGATTATCACTGCTGTGCTTTAACCCGCTGCACCATCAGGGAGGGCCCTTGTTTTTGTTTTTTAAGATTCTTTATGCAGGGGCCCTCCCTGGTGGCATAGTGGGTAAACGCAGCACTAAGAAGCTAAAACCACTTCAGCATGAGTTCAATCCCTGGCCCTGGAGGTGACCCACATGGCGCGGCAGACCTTTCCTCACCTGCCCGCTGCTCCCCTTAGCAGTGTACTTTGGTAGTCAGCCTGTTCTGCTCCCCACTCTGTCTCTGGTGAAGCCTCTCACTGCCCCTGCACCTCTGGCCTGTACCCCAGTTCTGTATGCATAAATAAATAAATCGTTTAAAAAATATATTCTTTATGCATATAGTACTGGGTACAGGCCAGAGTTGTGGGGAGTGAGAGGGTTCACCAGAAACAGAGAGGGGAGCAGAACATGCAGACTGACAAAGTATACTGCTGAGGGGCGCAGTGGGAGAGATAGGTGAGGTCTGTTGCACCATGTGAATCAGCCCCTGGCTGGGGATCAAACTCTGCAGTGGCTGCCGATAGCCCTGTAATGCTGTTCTTTATCCCATTGTGCTACCAGGGAGGGCCCTAAATCCTTTCCTTTACTTAACTGGTGAGTAGGAACTGGTTTGGTGTGAGTCCCAGGAGGTCCCTTCCTGCCTCTCTGGCTTGGCTGATACACTTCGATGACCTGATGATCTGTGTTCCTCGTCCCTGGCACAGTTTCTTTATTCCCTGTTCATCTTCCCCTTAGATTCTGCCAAGGAGGAATGAGAATATTTAGTCTGTTTTGGCTGCTCCCTGGGGTTACTTGATGATGCTCCTTTTTCTCTGATTATACTACTCACTGCCTCTTTCCCTTTGTCACTCAGATCTTGAGAGGCAGCCTGGAGGGTGCCTCCCGTATCCTGCCTGCGCTCCGGGTCCTGAGCAGTCTTCTGTCCGGTTGCAGTGACGCTGTTCTTTTGTATTCCTTCTGCCATGAGGCAGGACTCCCGGGGCTGCTGCTCAGCCTCCTCAGACACAGCCAGGAGAGCAGCAGTGTCCAGCAGGTAAGCCCAGGTCACCCCTGAAGACACACAGGGGTTCCTTCTTGGACTTCTTTTCAAACTGCCTTCTCCATTGGCCCAACTGCCTTTTCTTTTCACCTTCTCTTTCAAGTTATTAGAACACGAATCACAAAGTCTCATGTCTTCTGGGGCAGACAGATAATGTGAGGCAGTGAAAGGACTTGTGTAGCACTAGTATGGGGAAATATAAATTGGAGACCACATGCCCAATCTAAACAAGACCCCCTTAGGCCCTCCCTGGTGGTGCAGCTGTTTAAAGTGCAGCACTGTGAAGCTATCTGCAGCCTCTGCAGCATGAATTTGATCTCCTTGCACCTCTGATCCATACCCCAGTTCTTGTATGCATAAGTAAGTAAACCTTTAAAAGAAAGAAGGAAGGAAAAAAAAAAATGTGCAAAATTGGGACCTCCCTGGTGGCGCAGCGGGTTAAAGCACTGCACTGAGAATCTAAAGCTGCTTCCGCATGAGTTTGATTCCCGCCTGCCCCGGAGGAGACCACATGGCGTGGCAGACCTCTCCTGACCCGCCCGCTGCTCCCCTCAGCAGTGTACTTCGTTGATCTGCCTGTTCTGCTCCCAACTCTGCCTCTGGTGAAGCCTCTCACCGCTCCTGAGCCTCTGGCCTGTACCCCAGTTCTGCATGTACAAATAAATAAATCTTAAAAAAAAAAAAAAAAAATGTGCAAAATGATGTAAAAATAAACTTTTGTAATAATTAAATTAAAAAAAATGCAAAAAAAAAAAAAGAAAGAAGGAAATAAACAGGATATGCCCTTCTCTGCTCCCATCCATTGTTAGCATGGGGAATATGAGCCTGGCGTTGCCAGATCCGTTAATGTCCCAGAGATTTTAATGTGCAGTTTTCAAATATTTAGAGCATTGTGCTTTGAAATGTTAAGTCCCAGGCTTTATTGACCCACTTTATGGAGCAGGGCACTGAAATTCAGTGATAACTCATATATAGGTACTAACTTGTAACTAGTCATAGAAATGATAAGTGGACCAGATTGAAACTCAACCTGACTGGGGACAAGCCTTTACTCCTGTGTGCTGTCTGCGGTTGCAGCTGAGCTGGGAGGACAGTAGAGAGCGATGTTTAGTGGGGCTTAGTTTCAGGCAGCTAGAAAGCTACACTCTACTGATGAGTGTTTTAAAGTAATTAGGAAAGAATTTGAACTTATTTGAAAAACAGGTCCTGCTGAACTCAATATGCTGTTCAAGCCAAATAAGACACAATTTCAGGCTATTTATAGCCTCTTGGCTGATGCTTTGTTATTCTAAGTCTTCTCTCTGTACAAATGCTCTCTTCCCACCCCTTTCTCTTTGGTGAACCTGATTGAAGATGTGGATGTCTTTTTTTTTTTTTTTTTTATTGCTTTTTCTAGTATTTGCCTCCCTCACCTACACGTCCCTAACCCTCTGTCCTCTTCCCTGGCAGCAATGCTGGTATGCGACTTTCGGACAGGACTTGATGGCTGCAATTCAGGCCTACTTTGCCTGTACCTTCAATCTGGAAAGGAACCAGACAAGTGACAGGTGGGCTGAGAGGCCATTTTGCTTTCTTGTCCAGTTTGACTTCAGTTTCTACCCCCTTCACTTCCCCTCCACATGAGGAAGGTGACAGGTTAGGAAGAGGTGAAGGAGGGGTAAGCAGTGATCTGTGATAGGTTTAGGAATCAGCTGACTGAGCCATCAGAGTCAGCTAATCCTATTAAAAATTCCAAGACGTCTTTTAAGTTTTCCCTACAAGACTTCAGGGTTCTAGAGTTCGGAGTCACCATGGCATAAATGGAAGGGTCAAGAAATGAATAACCTCAAGAAAATGGCAACAAGGGGCTTGGTGATATGTTATATGAGACTATGTGTTCAGGGAGAAGGGGGGCATTATGAGGGGTTCTTTGCAGATTGTCCTGCTTGCCCAAAACTGATCCATTAACTACATCCATTTTTTAGCTGTGAGTTGAGAAGAAACCACAGGCTTATTTTTTCCCAGCCTACAGGTATTTCAGGAGGCTGCCAACCTCTTTTTGGACCAGTTGGGGAAACTGCTGGCTCAACCCGATGACGCTGAGCAGACTTTGCGGAAAGATGGCCTCATGGTAATCCATGCCCACAGGCAGACTTGTCGCTCCTGTCTTTACCCATTTCCCATCGCCTTTCTTAGGACCATGTAGGATAAGGTCAAGGTAATAAAACAAACATTTGTTGAAATGCCGACTCTGTGCCATATACCACATGAGTTAGGGATCAGTTTCAAGGGAGCAAGGACAGTCTTGTCTACTTGGGAAGATGTAAAGTGATCAAGGTCAAGGATGTGAAAAGTCATTAGATCTTTCCATAAATCACTGAAGAAGATAAGATTAATGTTACTCGGAGGGTCATAGACTCTTGATGATGATCCCTGCTAGGGTTTGAAGAATGCATGGAAGTTTGTCAGGTAGATGAGGCAGGAAAGTAGGGAGAGTCCAAGCAAAAAGGTAAGCATGTGCAAAGGCCTAGAGCTCTTAAGCAGTGTGGACTATTTCAAGGAACCACAGATAGTAATAGTCCTTCTTTTTGGTTTTAATTTATGAGATTAAATTTTTCTTAAGAGGATGATTAGTTTTTGATCTAGTTTGAGAGCTCGTCCTTTCAAGCTGGGGAGCTTTTAAAGTCTACCCTAAATTTTGGTCAGCAGTGACTTGTGATGTGGCCAGCTCTTCTCTTATGTCACTGCACTATGAGTGGTGTAGAAGGGTGGGGAGAAATACCCCATAATGTGAAGTTCTGGACTAGGTTGGGAAAAACCAAGGAATCTCCAGGAGTGACACTCCTAAGCCACAAATAACATTTTGAAGAATAGGTGAGAAGAGAGAGATAATATGAGCAAATAGAAAGATTGCCACCTAAAATTCCTGTTCTTGAACTCTGAGGGCAGTTCCAAGGCATTTTCTATGCAAGGAATACATAGAATTAGACAGCCGGACTCCTAAGTTCTTAACCTCTTTTCTCGGCTCTTCTGGGAGCCTTGCTTCTTACCCTAAATCCAGTCACTTCAGATGCCCTCATGATAACGCTGCCCTGGTCTCTCCTAGTGCTTTACTGTTCTGTGTGAAGCCATGGATGGGAACAGCTGGGCCATCTCCAGAGCCTTTTACTCCAGCCTGCTGACGACCCAGCATGCCGTGTTGGATGGGCTTCTTCATGGCTTGACAGTTCCACAGCTCCCTTTCCACACGCCCCCAGGTAAAGCCAGATTGGGGCTTCTCCTGACTTACTTGTCCTGTAGGCTCACCTCTGCTTTTTCTACTGCCCTGTCCTAGACCAGTGCCTAGTGTCTAGTGTTCAGTACATAACTGTGAACTAAAAAGTGAGTGGAGACCTGAGACGACCAACCAGCCCCACCCTGTGCCCTCTGCCTCTCTCCATAGGTGCCCCCCAAGTGAGCCAGCCACTGCGAGAGCAGAGTGAGGACCTGCCTGGAGTCATTTCCTCTGTGCTGGCAGCCATATGCACTGCTCCTGTAGGGATGCCCGGTTGCTGGGAAGCCAAGGAGCAGGTCTGTGCTGCAGATTCTAATCCCATTGCTAGCATTGGAAAGGCTGGTCCCAGCTTCTCAGAAAGGCAGAAAAGCAAGCTTGTATGCCTGCCCTTAATCAGTGTTTCCAGAAACAAGTGCTCCAATCTTAGATCTGAGCCACTGGTAGAAATCGAATTTTCTAGAGCCCTTGGCTAGCTGGAGAACTTGGTGACAAACTGTATGGTAGGGTAGGGTAGGGTAGGCAACTTACAGTTATGCTTTAAGAACTCAGGAGTCCTACTTCCTGCTCTTACCCAGCAGCACTTCTATACCTACCTGCGCTGGGGCTAATTTAGGCCATGACTTTCAGTTCTCTGTTGTCTCTGTAGACCGAGCTCTGAGGTTCCTGGTGTGTTTGGGAAGAGTCTAGCAAGGATTTACAAGTCCTGGTTAACTGGAGATGTAAGAGGAATAGGTTTGGGGCGTGGGGTTGAGCCACAGGTATGTCCCTATAGATCTCTCGGCATCTGGCAAATCAACTCACTGAAGACAGCAACCAGCTGAGGCCGTCCCTCATCTCTGGCTTGCAGCATCCTGTCCTGTGCCTCCACCTTCTCAAGGTACTACTATCCATACTTCTTGGCATTTTGGATTTTTTTTTTTTTTTTTTTTTTACATAGAAGAATTGGGGGGTAGGCCAGAGGTACGGGTGTGAGAGGATTCAACTAGAGACAGAGTGAGGAGCACAGCAAGTGGAGTCACTGAAATCCATTGCTGAGGGGAGCAGTGGGTGAGACAGGAGAGGTCTGCTGTGTCACATGTGGGTCACCTCCCTGGCTGGGGATCGAACTCAGCAGTGATAATATTGAGACTCAACACCTAGGCCAGTAGGAAGGCCCCAGATTTCTTTCTCACCCCCAGATTGAGAGAGACACAGAGAGATGAGAGACCATCTTGGAGAACCCCTTTCTGCTTTTAAATTTTTCAACTCAGAAGGCCCTACTGTTAGCCTGACCTTAAAGAACGAAGTGTCCCTGTCTTACTGTCTCTCAGCAAGAGGCAGAGGTGGCCTGAACATCTCACCCCCCCACCCAAGTACAGGTACCAGGTCTGTGGAGAGGCTTGTCCATGCTGGTAGTGAGCCTTCCAGCCTGGGAGCCCAGGGGTGGCCCTGCCTGACTGGCGGACTCCTTCCTGCTCCCTTAGGTGCTTTACTCCTGCTGTCATGTCAGCGAGCGCCTCTGCCAGCTCATAGGCCAAGAGCCCCTGGCCTTGGAGTCACTGCTGATGTTGGTCCAGGGCAAGGTAGGCCGGCCAGAGCGGGTATCTCACGGCGGCCCCACCATCTCAGAGGTGCGCTCTTACCTGAGTTTCCTTTGTAGGTGAAGGTCGCAGATAGGGAAGAATCGACTGAAGTGACGCTCTACCTCCTCTCCCTCCTTGTACTTCGACTACAAGATTTGCCTTCTGGGTGAGTCATTTGCCTTCAATGGAGTCTCTTCACTGAAATCTTTCACCCAGACCTGGAATAAGGAGAGTGGCCCCCTACAGCCTATATTTAGGAGGGATTAGGATAGAGAGAATGATGTTTTCGGTACAAAGAGCAGACCTGAATCCACCCCAACAAAGGCTGTGCCGTGGAGGCGGACGTGCGGCCTGTGTAGAGAGGGCCGCCCAAGCAGGGGGACGGCCACTCTCCAGCTCCCTTTCACATTCTGCAGCCCTGGGTGGATCTCTTTTGTTCCTCAGAATGGAGAAGCTAGGCGGTGAGATTGCTACCCTCTTCACCCATTCGCACGTCGTCTCTCTTGTGGTGAGTTTTCAGTCTTCATCTTTCTCACTGTCATGCAACCTCTGGGAGCAGGGGAGTCACCATCCCATCTGCATCCTCCTGCGGCCTGTCCTGGACACCATTCTGATGTGGACATTCCTCCTCCCACCCTCCCACAGAGCGCAGCGGCTTGTCTTTTGGGGCAGCTTGGCCAGCATGGTGTGAGCCTGGATCTCCAGCCTGTGGACTGGATCGCTGCAGCCACACACGCCCTGTCTGCTCCCGCAGAGGTGAGGTCTACCAGGGAAGATGTACACGTATTTTCTCTGAGTCAAACAGGGAGCCAGGGAGAAAAGACAAATGCCTGCAAGCCTCGAGTAAACTAAGGAGTGGTGGAGGAATGAAGGAGGCTTCCCTTTCCGACCCTTCTACTTCCAGATAAAGCACGCTCTGAAGCCAAACTGGTCCTGTCCTCAAATCCTATACCCTTAAAGAGGGGAGGGATGGAGACCTAAGTTATCTGAGGGGTGAGATTTCCCTGCCCATTTCAGTTCCCTCCTCTAGAATCTCCTGCTGTCCTCCTTAAGATCCTTGATAAGGCTCGATTTCTTCCCTTTCTACATCAGTTTGCACTGACTTTTGCCACTTTCTCCTTAACTGAGATGGAAAAGGTGGCTGGCATTCTGGGAACTCTTCAGGAATTCAGGATATTCTGTAGCCTCCTTTCTGTCAGGTGGCTCTCTTTTAAGGCTTTCTTTCTACCTTCTTTTTAGGCCCTCTGGAGTCCATATATCCCTCACTTTGTAAAAAGGATAGAATTCATATTCAAATTATTGTCATCCCTTATGTATGTAGAATTGTTAATAATTTACAAGGCATTTTCACATGTTATCCTACAACGCATGAAAGATGGGCACCTCAAATGCAGTATTTTTCTTTTCACTGGATGAAGTTGAACTTCGGAGTGATAGTGTTCCATTAGGGAGGGCATAACATGCACTCATCACGATGGCAGCACCTCAGTTAGAAGCCTGGTTGTCACAAAGGCTGCACCCTCTGTTTTTTTTTTTAAAGATTTATTTATTTACACATATGGAATTGGGGTACAGGCCAAAGGTGCTGGGGGTGAAAGGATTCACCAGAGAGAGACAGAATGGGGAGAAGAGAAGGAGGATAGGAAGATGAAATTGAAATACACCTCTGAAGGGAGCAGCAGGTGGGTGAGGAGAGGTCTGCCACACTGGACTTCTGGCGGGGAGTCGAACTTGTGCTGCAGATAGCTTCATAGTGCTGCACTTTTACCCATTGTTCAACCAGGAAGGCCTCCCCCTTTTTTTTAAAGATTTATTTCTTTATGCATACTGAACTGGGGTAAAGCCCAGAGGTGTAAGGGTGGTGAGAGGATTCACCAGAGACACAGCGGGGAGCAGAACAGGCAGATGGATGAAGTACACTGCTGAGGGGAATAGCGGGCGGGTCAGGAGAGGTCTGCCGCACCATTTGGGTCAGCTCCAGGGCTGGGGATTAAACTTGCACTGGAGCGGCTGCACCTAGCTTGCAGTGCTGCACCCTAAGCTGTTGAGCCATCAGGGAGGCCCTGCCCGAGGGCCCCTTTTAAACTTTTTTTTTTTAAGATTTATTTATTTGTTCATACAGAACTGGGGTACAGGCCAGAGGCTCAGGGGCGGCGAGAGGATTCACCAGAGACACAGCAGGGAGCAGAACAGGCAGATGGACGAAGTACACTGCTGAGGGGAGCAGCGGGCGGGTCAGGAGAGGTCTGCCAGGCCATGTGTTCACCTCCGGGGCAGGCGGGAATCGAACTCATGCTGAAGTGGCTTTGGCTTCTCAGTGCTGTGCATTAACCCACTGCGCCACCAGGGAGGGCCCCCTTTTAAACTTTTAATCTACCTGTTTTCTACTTCTGGGAATTAGAGTTAGGCACCCTCAACTGTGTCCCCACTGCAGCCTCCTGTCTAGCAAGTGTCTTCCTAAGCTTTATCTTTGCTGTGTCTGTGTCTGCTTACCCTGCCAGACTGTGTCTTTGGGACTGGTCATTGAGTGACTAGGCTGGAGCCAACACACAAGACCACAAGAACTCTCCAGTACTCCAGGCCTACGAAGAGCTCTTTCTGCCTGACCAGGAGCTGGGCGCGGGCCTGAGGCCGCTTCATCTCTCCCAGAGATCGTTTTCTTCTTGCCTCTCTCTGACAGGTTCGGCTGACTCCTCCAGGTGGCTGTGGGTTCTATGATGGTCTCCTCATCCTTCTGCTGCAGCTTGTCACCCAGGAACAGTTGCATCCTAGGATGGGGGAAGTAAGCAGTGAGAACCTGGGCATCTGGGGAGCCACTGGACGATAGGAAGGAAGAAGCAATTCACACTTGCCTTCCTCTCAATCTGTGTCTATCACAGGCCACCTGCATTAGTATGGACCCTTTAAAGAATTCGTTCAGTTGCGTCTCCTGGGATTCAATGGGGGGAAAAGCTGGAATTTTCTGGTTCTAGCATGTGGTTTGAGAGATCAGAGTTTTTAGATGGGATCAGAACAGGGACTAAGGCCATGGAGTAATCCCTAGGTAGGAAAATAGAATTATTTCTGGGACTCCCTTTCCCTACAGGTTAGGGATCAGAGTAAAAAAGACACTTTGATTCCTGAGTTCAGCCCACCCTCCTTCAATTTTGCCTCCAGCAGGGGAAAGGTAGCCTGATACGGGATGTGGCTGGCTCAGAAATGTGGACTGTTCTGTGGCACCGCTTCTCCATGGCTTTGAGGCTGCCCAAGGAGGTGTCCACCCAGGAGGAGGAGCTGTCTCTATCCAGTCTACAAAGCTCTGAGCCAGACTGGACGCTCATCTCACCCCAAGGTATCTTTCCATCAGCCTGGCCTCCTTGGTGGGGCCAATGATCAATCTCTCCTCAAGAGAAGGCTGCCTGTAATGGGTTATTCCACGAGTGCTGTTGCTGCCTCCCAGGGAGAGAATGCAGAGTGCCCACTGGAGCTGCTGAAGGATGGGGAAGGGGCCAAATAGGTGTAGTCCTGGGGCTGTGTGGAAGAGGGGACCTCAGTGCCTCTTGCCTGCCCCATTGAGGCCCATTCTTGTTATTTCCAGGGATGGTTGCCCTACTGAGCCTGGCCGTGGCCATCTTTACCCAGGAGCCCCAGTTATGCCTCAGCCACCTTTCACAGCGTGGAAGTGTCCTCATGTCCACCCTGAAGCATCTCCTTTCCCCCAGCTTCTTGTATCAGCTGGGCCAAGCGTGAGTCTGAGCCAAAGGAGGGAGGAGACCAGAAGTCTCAGAGGGTCTGGATTTTTTGGGGCGTGGAAGGGGAAGGCATGAGGGAAATAGCTGACAGTGTGAGCTATGAGGATTACTGAAACTGGGGAAAGGGAAATGGGCTAGAGAATTTGAGAAAAGGGTGAAGGATAAAGGGTGGGTAAGACTGAGTGAGACCTTCCACACTCCCATCCTTAGGCCTCATGGGTCTGAGTTTCTCCCCGTCATGGTGCTCTCAGTCTGCCAACTCTTCTGCTTCCCCTTTGCCCTGGATGTGGACTTCAACCTCCTTGTAGGTGTCTTGGCTGATCTCACAAACTCTGAAGTCACAGCCCACTTACTGCAGGTACTTGGGAAGTTACTGGAAGGTGGGTCAGGAAGATGGCCAACCTGTGTACTCTGATTCACTTCCTTACAGCTCCAGGGCTCTGCTGGGCCCATTAGAGTTGAGCATCTGGTTTGATTTAGAGTTGGAGTGGAGAAAGCACTCAGACCTGAACAGAGGCTTGTGTTTGGAACTGGGCTGGTTATCTCCATCATTCTCTTATCTGGATTCCATTGGATTTCCATGAGGAGATCATCCATTTAGGCTGTGGACACTCATCTCCTCAGCCAGGAATCACTTCCCTGCTAGTTGTTAGCAGTAAGGGCACTGAAGGTGGAGAAAGAATTCTTGCAAAGATTGAACCTAGAGAGGACCATGGGCTTCACGTTGTGTCTCATGTGGGTGTTATGCGTCAGGTCTTCCAGCTTTCTGTGGTATTTCTCATCATAGCTGGGCTTTCCTCACTCCCACATTTTAGGTTCTAGCTAGCTAACTTCTCCCTCTCCCCCTGAACTACTTCAGCTGCTCCCTCTCCTCCTCCAGGTGTGCTGCCATCATCTTCAGTTGCCACAAGTGGAGCTGCCCATCAGTCTCCTCACACACCTGGCCCTCACGGAGCCCACCTCTCTCAACCAGTTTGTGAACGCAGTGGCTGCCTCCCCCAGAGCAGTCCTCTCATTCCTCTCGCTTGCTCTCCTGGGTGACCAGCCGCTATTGACGTCTGACCTCCTCTCACTGCTGGCCCACACAGCCCGGATGCTGTCTCCCAGCCACTTGTCCTTTATCCAAGAGCTCCTGGCTGGCTCCGACGAATCCTATCGACCCTTGCGCAGTCTCCTAGGCCATCCAGAGAATGCCGTACGGGCGCGCACTTATGGGCTCCTGGGACACTTGCTCCAACACAGCGTGGCCCTGCGAGGGGCCCTGCAGAGCCAGGCTGGCCTGCTCAGCCTTCTCTTGCTGGGGCTTGAGGACAAAGACCCCACCGTGCGGCGCTGTGCCAGCTTTGCCGTGGGCAACGCAGCCTACCAAGCCGGTCCCCTGGGCCCTGCCTTGGCAGCCGCGGTACCCGGCATGACCCAGCTGCTTGGAGATCCTCAGGCTGGTATCCGGCGCAATGCTGCGTCAGCTCTGGGCAACTTGGGGTCTGAGGGGTTGGGAGAGCAGCTGCTACAGTGCCAAGTACCTCAGCGACTCCTTGAGATGGCGTGTGGAGACCCCCAGCCGAGCGTGAAGGAGGCCGCCCTCATTGCCTTGCGCAGCCTCCGGCAGGAGCCCCGCATCCATCAGGTACGCCTGGGCGTCTTAGGCGCTGCAGTGACGGAGGTGGCACTCGTGTGGTTTTTGTGCGATTGTCTTTAAGGAGTCAGTACAACCAGAAACCCAAACTGTACCCCTCTCTGAGAGCAGTGTCTTGGAGCTGAGTTTTCCATGCCCCATTTCCAAAGCTAGAGAATGGAAGGGGCCGGCAGGAGGGCACCATGGGCTGAGAAAGTGTGCACTCTCAAGGTCCATTCTAGGGAAGGGGAGAGTAGTAAAATTTGACGTGTAGTGTGGTTTCATTCCGAGGGCCATGAAGGACTCTCCAGGTGAAAAGCACCAAGCTAGGCACTTTGCCTTTATTTTCTGTTTGTTTTTTTTTAAAAAGATTTATTTACTTGTGCGTACAGAAATGAGGTACAGCCAGAGGTGCAGGGGAGGCAAGAGGATTCATCAGAGGCAGAGTGGGAGGCAGAACAGTACACTGCTGAGGGGAGCAGGGGCGGGTCAGGAGAGGTCTGCCGCGCCATGTGGTCACCTCCAGGGGGTGGGGTTTGAACTCATGCTGAAGCGGCTTTAGCTTCTTAGTGCTGTGCTTTAACCCGCTGCGCCACCAGGGAGGGCCCTATCTTCTGGTTTTTAAGCTACTGTGCTCTTCATTGTAAAGGTGAGGGAACTGAGACACAAAGAATTTAGTAACTACTTTAGAATGTAGACTTAGACTTTGAATCCAGAGCCCACACTTTCTTTCCCCACCTTGGCTTCATAATGTAGCAGTTTTTATTATGGACAAAACACCCTTGCATTTGATGAGATAGGAGCCCGTACTGTTAACCACTGCTTTATTCTCTTCCTGAACAATTTTCAGTGTATAACCATTCAATAAAAATCATACATCTGCTTCAGATAATGCTAACTTCCAAAAATAGCTCGGTGTTGTAGCTTTGGTGGTTCATGCTACCAGGATATAAGTGAGTATATACATTATAGTATTTTTTGACAGCCCATGTGGAGAAATCATAAAAGAAATTCACGAGTGGTGATGAAGCTGTGACCCCTTGTCTGCCTCTCTGAGTGGAAATCAGGCTTTTCGCTCACCACTACTGCACCCTTTACCTCTTCTGGGGACAGGGCATGGTCCCTTGGTATTTTGGTTTCATGACCTGTCCCCAGAGAGAATGAAAGTAAACCTCTGTCTTTGCCTCTAAGGTTTTACTTTCCCCACACAATCTATTGTGAATACCCAGGAGCCCATTTTCTTCCTTTTCTGGAGTGGGACTTGCCGGGCCAAAGGAGTGTCTAATGCATGTTGTGTTCTGTTGCCTGCTCTCTCTCCAACAGGTGCTGGTGTCCCTGGGTGCCAGTGAGAAATTAGCTTTGCTCTCCCTGGGGAGTCAGCTGTTGCCACACAGCAGCCCCAGGCCTGCGTCGGCCAAACACTGCAGGAAACTCATTCGCCTCCTGAGGCCAACCCACAGCACATGATGCCCGGCTCCCAGGGCCCAGCCTCCAACCCGGTTGCCCTACTCTTGCCAAGTCTTCCATTTTCTACACTACAAGCTACCAATTCAACGGAGAGCTAAAGTGATGAGAAAGAGAAACTGCCAACTGATTGGAGATTGAGACATTGGAAAGATTTATGTATAAAGCTCCTTCCCCGCAGATTCGGATGCTAGCAACAAGTAAACTTCATTATTGTTGGTGCCAGAGGAGATTGCTTCCGTCTCTTCATCTTGGGGTCTTCTCTCCAATAACGTGCCTTGAACCCCAGGAACATGCCTCCTGGACCTTTGGGAAACACCTTCTTTCTGACAGACCTTGTCTTTCTGAAACTCCTACAATCCTCCCAGCAGATTCTTGCCCTGGCCACAGGGGGAGACAGAGCCTACGTAGCTCTGGACAGTCCCTGTGGTGGAGGGTTCCCCAGCCCATAGCTACCTCCCCACATGTGGATGGGGGTGGGGAGTGTGTGTGTATATGTATATGTATATATACAGACACGTGTATGTATGTGTGTATGTATGTATTAGTTCTGTTTGTAAACTCTTGCCATAACAGGTGTGCTTCACTCTACTTGGAGCTGCCAGGGTAGGGAGTTAGGAGGCTCAGCTCCTCCGTTAGTATTTCCATGGTACTGGAAGCACCGATGTCCTTTTCACCTAGATCCTGGTTTGAAAGCTTATTTGTATCAAGTAGCTTCCTCCACCCCAGATAGTTATATGTGGTCACTACTTTCAAGTTCAGGAAGGTAGTGCTAAAATAGGAAAGGAAGGTTAAGTAGAAGCAAATTGGATTGCTTCAAATCTAAAGCTTAGTGACTAGTTTTACTATTGAATGACGTTTTAGTAGGAGAGCCTAGGTCCTCAGGAAGCAGTTTTTTATGGAGACTGCAGACGACCAGGAAGGGGTGATTGTCAGGCCCCATTAGAATCGTAGTTCAGCTGCAAACATAACTAAAGTATTAGGTCTTGACTTGCTGGATGGCTTGGAACAAGTTTCCCAGGTCCTCATTTCTCCATCTATTGAAAGACTATTCCGTCCTAAATTTCTAAAACAAATCTCAACTATTTTAGTTACGAAAAATGAATATGGTACCCTTATTTTTATTTATTTATTTATTTATTTATTTATTTATTTATTTATTTAAAGATTTATTTATGTATAGAAGAACTGGGGTATAGGCCAGAGGTACGGGGGTGGGGGCAGTGAGAAGATTCACCAGAGACAGTGGGGAGCAGAACAGGCAGAGCTACTGCTGAGGGGAGCAGCGGGCGAGGGGAGAGGTCTGCCGTACCTTGGGGTCAGCTCCCTGGCAAGGGATTGAACTTGTGCTGCAGTGACTGCAGAGAGCTTCAGAGTGCTATGCTTCAATCCTTTGTACCACCAGGGAGGGCCCATGACTTTATTTTTAAATAAGGGATATTATTTCTCATCTTCATTGACCACTCTGTTTATATTTTAGCAAAAATAACTTTTTAAAAATATAAACCACTGTAATCTTATCCAGGTGATTTCATTTCAACTCATCATGTTTTTATTGACTCCCTCTTATGTGCCAGACGCCTATGTTCTAGGCATTGGAGATAAAGAAGTACTTATTTGTCAACAGGGTTTCTAACCCGAGGGTGGGGAGTGAAAGAGAGTCAAGTGAATTACATGTAGTAGGTAGGAGAGTGAAAAAAGCTCTGGAGGTCAAACCGACTGCAGTGTTAGATGGTCACATTAGGCCTCACTGAGACAGTGACATTTCAGCGAAGGCTTGAAGGAGATAAGGGAATGCGCAATGTCACTATCTGCTGGAAAAGTGTCTGCAGACAGACAGACCTCTTTCTTCAAAGGTTCTCAGATGGAGGGTGCCTGACCTGCTTGAAGAGTCATGAAGGACCAGCTTAGATGGAAGCAGGAGGAGGAAGAAGATAGTAGGAAAGGGACAGGAAGGTAATGGGGAAGAGTGTTGTAGGCCTTATAAAGGTTGTGTTTTAAGGCCCTCCCTGGTGGCTCAGCGAGTTAAAGCACAGCACTAAGAAGCTAAAGCCACTTCAGCATGAGTTGGATCCCCACCCCTGGAGGTGACCCGCATGGTGCGGCAGACCTCTCCTGGCCCGCCCACTGTTCCCCTCAGCAGTGTACTTCGTAGATCTGCCTGTTCAGCTCCCCACTCTGTCTCTGGTGAATCCTCTTACCGCCCCTGACCCTCTGGCCTGTACCCCAGTTCTGTATGCATAAATAAATAAATATTTTTTTTTAAAAAAGCTTGTGCTTTAAAGAGAGTGGAATTGATTGGTGGGTTTTGAATAGAGGAGTGCTGTGATCTTTGTTTTTTAAAAGATTGCTCTTCATTCTGGTGGTGTCAGGACTGGGAGGAATAAGGGTGAGCAGTTAGAAGGTTACTGTAATAATCTGGGAGAGATGATGGTATTTTAAACATGGGGGAAATATGACTTCTTGGCTGATTGGATGCAGGGGTGTGCACAATGACACCCAGGCTCTTGGCAAATAAACATTTGAAGGGATGATTTGCCAGTTCCTGAAACAGGGAAGGCTAACACCCGAGGGCACTGGAGGGAAGATTTGAGCTCACGTTTGAATGTAAGTATGTAAGCTGGAAACTTTTCAAATACTCAGAAGCAGAGAAATCAGTTTCAATAGCTAATATAGTTATTCCTTTTTTTATTCAAGCATTTAAAAATAATCCTAGGATTATTTTTGAATTTAATGTTACTCATAATTACTGGTATCTCTGAAAGATTAGAACTTTTTTTTAAAGATTTATTTATACACACAGAACTGGGGTACAGGCCAGAGGTACTGAGGTGGTGAGAGGATCCACCAGAGACAGAGCGGGGAGCAGAACAGGCAGACTGATGAAGTACACTACTGAGGTGGGCAGCAGGCAGGTCAGGAGAGGTCTGCTGCGCCATATGGGTCACAGTCCCTGGCCAGGGGATCGAACTTCTGCCGTGACTGCCAATAGCTCCACGGAGTTGCACTTTAACCTGTTGCACCACCAGGGAGGGCCTGAGAGGCTAAGTTTCTAAACTCAAAGAAGAGAGACCGGTACAGTAAACTGTATCATGCATGCACAGATTTAGTTACAACTAATAATAGTTTACCATACCAGTTCTACCTATTTTTTAGATTTTTGTCATTTTGTCATTGTCATTGTTAATTCAATTTTGAGATATTTTAAACTTAAGAAATGGTTGTAAACATAGGACAAAGAACCCCATATAACCTCCACCCAGGTTCACTGATTATTAACAGTTTACCACAGGTTTATATTTTTCTGAACCATTTTAGAGTAAATTGTAAATGAGTGTAAATTTTTTTTTTTTAAGATTTATTTATCTGTTCATACAGAACTGGCCAGAGGCTCAGGGGCGACGAGAGGCTTCACCAGAGAAAGAGTGGGGAACAGAACAGGCAGATCTATGAAGTACACTGCTGTGGGGAGCAGCAGGTGGGTCAGGAGAGGTCTGCCACACCATGTGGTCACCTCCGGGGCAGGCGGGAATCGAACTCATGCGGAAGTGGCTTTAGTTTCTCAGTGCTGTGCTTTAACCCGCTGTGCCACCAGGGAGGGCCAATGAGTGTAAATTTTTAAAAAAGATTTTTTTATTCATACAGAAATGGGGTACAGGCCAGCGGTGCAGGGGCAGTGAGAGGATTCACCAGAGACAGAGTGGGGAGCAGAACAGGCTGATGAAGTATACTGCTGAGTGGAGCAGCGGGGGAGGAGGGTCAGGAGAGGTCTACGTGCCATGTGGATCACCTCTGGGGTGATCCTGGCCCCAAATTTAACCCAACATGATTTTGTGTTAGCTATTATGTGTCATTAACCATTCCTCCTCTGTCTTTTGTGACACTGACATTTTGAGACGTGCAGACCAATTTGGGTATATCTGATGTATGCTTGTGATTTTATTTAATTATATATTTTGGCAGAAGTACTACATAAGTAATGTTGTGCCTTCTCAGTATATGATATCTGGAGGCTGAGGATGTTTTTCCAGTAACTGTTGAAGTTATCTCTGATCCTTTCTTTGTGACCCAGGCAGGTTTCTTTTGCTGTAGTGCTTTTGTTTTTGTTTTTCTGCTGTTACTCCCTTTTCTCTCCTCTCCCTTTCCCTATGGTGTTCTTTGTTTTCATTACTTTCCCCAGCATTCTTTATTTCCTCTAGTGGCCTTTTCATCTCCTGCATTTCTGCTATTTTCTTTTTTAAGGTCTCGTTTTCTTTCTTCAATTTGTTGATTGCTTGTCTCATACTGTTTTTTTTTTCTTTTTCATTTCTTTCATTCATTTCCTTGTTTGCATTCTTCAGTTTCTTGTTTGCATTCTTCAATTCCCTGATAGCTTGCTGCATATCATTTTTTTCCCCATCTCCTTTTTGTTTGTTTATCATGATGATTTTGAATTCTCTATTGGTAGGCTGAGCAGTTCTTCTACTTCTTTGGTGATTTCTGGTGACTGATTTTTTTGTGGTCAATTTTTCCCCTGTGGACTTGCTTGGGTATTTGTTTGTCTTCTTTTCCCTGTCGTGTATTTTCTAATACTTTCTATTTACTGAGACATGGTGTTGCTATTACCGACTAGCATTCTTTCTGGATGTTCTTTCTGGTATGGCTGAGGGACTTCCAGACACTTCAGTTGTGGCAGATATTCTGAGCTGTGTTTTGTTTCAATATCTCCTGTTTTTCCAGCCCCCACTGTGTGGAATTATCTGTCATCTCAGCCAGTAACAGTCAGGGGTCTCTTGAGGTATTTAGCTTCTTCCAGTAACATGTTGAGTCCTAGTCTCTGGAAGGTGCCTATTGATCTTTGTAGCCTTCCTATGTCCAGGGTTCCCTCTGTGCTTGGATGTACCTGTGGGGGGTGGGACACATTAGAAGTGTTGTAGGCCTACCTGCAGCTGGGCCTGTCTTTGAGCCAGCCACTGGTTTTGTTTACTTTCTGAGCACTATGAGCCTTGCAGAGCAGTGCCTTTCTGGTTCACAAGCCTTCAGGCCTCTGCTGTGAGTGTGGGGGTTGCAGGGAGCACCAGAAGAGCTGCAAGCCTTCCAGCTGTGCAGGCTGCCAGTCCTCCCTCAGTGCCCCAGGGCTCTTTGTGCCTGCTCAGAGCAGTCTCCCTGAGCAGACTTTCCCCACCGCTTGGGGTCCACTCACAAAGCTGAGTTGTCTCTCTTTAACTCCAGGGCTTTACCACATATTTTATGGGTAGATGTGGTAAGCAGGTAGAGCAGTAGCCAGTCTCCTATCTGAGGTGCTTCCTAGGGCCTCTCTATACTATGATGTGCCTGTAGAGGTGGGGTAGCGTTAGAAGTGTTGCAGTTTCCTAGGGCTGGGCCTGTGGTTGATTCCATCTAACCATTTTTTGCCCCCCTTTTACCTTTGAGACTTAGTGAGTCTTCCTGGGCCCCACCTTAATGGTGCACAAGCCTCCGGCCTCTACTGTGGGGGTGGTGGATGCAGGGAGTGCTGGAAGGGCTGCAAGTCTCCCACTGCCCCATTGCCAGTTCTTCCTCCCCACCTTCAGGGCTCTATGTGCCCACTCCGAGCATCTTTCCCTGCAGCTTGGGTTCCACTCATGAGCTGAGTTGTCTCTTTACCTCCAGGGCTTTAGTGGGTGAGGAGCAGCAAGCTTCCTGTCTGAGGCACTTCCTAGCACCGGGGCGCTCCCAGATTGGAGCTCCCCTATCAGAGCTCCCCAATCGCAGAGTCTCCCTCAGTTATCTTCCTTCTAGTGAGTCAAGGTGCTCTCATTTAGGTTGAAACTCTTAGTATGTAAGTCTACAGTCAATTTTTAGTCTTACATTCCTGTGTGAGCTTGGATGTAGTGATTTTGGCATCTTCACTCTGCTGCCATCTTGCTGGATCTCTCCCCTATGGTGTTCTTTGGAAGGAAGTTACTCTGCACAGTCCATACTTAATAAGTGGGGAGTTATGATCTTCCTCCTTTAGGATACAGTAGCTACAAAATTTATTGGGAATTCCTCCATACAGATTTTTCTCATTAGCACATTTGTTAACATATTTAACTTTATAACAGGGAACTTTATAACAGGGACTCCTCATGGATATTTGTTTTATACTTTAGGTTATAAACATCTAGTACTCTTCTTTGTTGTTCAAGCTTTGGTTATTGGGGATTCATGCAGTTAGCTCCTATGACCTACTCCATTCTGTGTGGGTTTTGAATGGAACTTTTCCATTCTTTCTGGTACTATGTATCATTTCCGGATTACCTTGTATATTTCAAACTCCATTCCTGGATTTTCCCAAGGAGCCCTGGTTCATTGGAGAATGTACTAGAAACTGAGAGCTGGGTTCTACATGTACTTGTTCCTGTTGGGGTATTTGCTGTAGTATCTTAAAAGCAAATTCCTGGTATCATGCCATTTTATCCCTATAAGTATATGTAATATCCATAAAGAATATTTTCTTAAGTCATCAAAATGTCAGAATATCCTGTGATTGCCACAACTGATTACCAAAAATTTAACAATTTACAATGTGGCAGAGCAGCAGTAGAAATCTATTCCCCCAGAGTTCAGGAAACCAAAAGGCAGACTGTCCTGGGAGCTCTATCCCCTCAGAAGGAGCTAGGGGAGAATCCATTCCTTTCCTCTTCTAGTTTCTGGAGTTCTGGATATTGCTAGGTTTGTATCTACACCCCTCCAGTCTCTCTGCCACAGTAGTCATATTGCTTCTCTATCTTGTGTCATTGTGTGCCTGCCAGATCATTCTGAGTTCCACTATGGCACTAGCCAATGGATTCAGAGCCCAACCAGATAATCTAGGAAAATTCTTAATCCTCCCAAAGCCCTTAACCATATAAAATACTTACAGGTTCCTGGAATTAGGATTTTGGTGATGGTGGTAGTGGGCATCATTCAGTTCATTACAATACTAACAAAAATTTTTAGCATAATCTAAATTCTTTATGTCTAAAATTCATATTAGGATTTCTCCTTTTTCTGAAAAAAGGTTTCTTTATTATACCTACAAGAACTGGGATACAGGCCAGAGGTGCAGGAAGTGAGAGGATTCACCAGAGACAGAGTGGGGAGCAGAACAGGTGGATTGACTAAAATACACTGCTGAGGAGAGCAGTGGGCAAGACAGTAGAGGTCTGTGCCATGTGTCAGCTACCTTGCTGTGATCTGACTGAACTTGTGCTGCAGTGGCCTCTGCTGATTTCATCACAGTGCTGAGGCTTAATGTCTTGAGCCACCAGGGAGGCCCTAGATTTCTCCTTTGCCTCAAAAATTACTTTTACAGTTGGTTGGTTTGAATTGGGATTTAAATGAGGTCACTTGTAGCTTTTGACTGTATCTCTTGTAATGTAGAACAGCTCGGGATCTTTTTTTTTTTTTGTACTCTAAAATTGTTGATGAAACACGGTCAGTCATCTGCACGTTGACCCACATTCTGGATTTGTCTAAGTGCTTTCATGTAGTGGTGTTTTCTCTTTATCTCCAGGAATTTGGATCCAACTTAGGTTGGATTCCATTGCATCACATCGAGAGATAAAATTTATAGCTTTGATCACTTCATGATTGAAGACTGATTAACATACAGGGCTAGTGACAGACATCTTTCCAATGTAAAACTCCCCAAAGGAATCCTCTAATTCCTAGATGGTTTTTACATCCATCAATGGCTTGCTAAAATCAATGATCTATTTAGCCTTCTTGCTCTAATCTACATTGTTCTTTTTGGGTTAGTTTTATCTCTTATTATCTATGTGGCTGTTTAGGAAAGATTTTTTTTCACCTTCTTGCTCTCTCTAGGTCAAATTTACTAGAAACAGAGGCATTTACTAGATCTAGTGAGGCGGCAGGATCTGCTCATGGCTGGGAAGATAATGAGTTGGTATTTCGTAACTTCACTCTTGAAGCCATAATACAGGTGACTGCAGTTGTTCCTTGCTGGGTGGGCTGGAGTTAGCCGAAAGAGGTTGTGGGATGCATAGAGGATGGGGCCATTTCTCCTTTCCTGGGGTCAAGACCAAAGACTATTCTTGGGGAGAACTACCAAGAAATTTCCTTATTAAGCCTGAGTTTTTTGAGTTCAGAAGAACGAATTAGGGATGGCTAAAGAAAGCCCATGGAAGATAGGGGGAAATCGGAGTCCTGGAGTCCCAGAATGGAACCTGTTGGGGATTTAACTTCCGGACTGCGACTCCCAGAATTCCGCTCTACGGGCACCTACCGTCACTGAAGCGATTGCGCATGTGCGAACCAGGGCCCGGCCTACCCACCCCCACAGGCCCCATAACCCCCGAGATTCCACGCGCTCGCCTCCCTCCTGACCGACTCACCCCTTCCAGGCCCTCTGTCCGTCCGCTGGGGGCGCGCGCAGTTCGAGGCTGAGGCGCCGGCGCCGCGGCTGGGAGCGCGGGTCTCCAGGCGCAGCGTGGTTGCTAGGGCACCCAGAGGCCTCCCGCTCGCCCCGCAGGCCGGAGAAGGCAGCAGCGCCGAGCCGGCGCCGAGCGGGCGCCGAGCCGGGCCGACGCCGGGTCCGCTAGGTGAGTGCGGCTGCGGAGCCGGGGAAGCAGCCTCCGCCCGCTCGACTCTCCCGCCCCTCCTCGACCCGGTTCCTTTCTCGCGGATCCCCAGCCCAGCGGCCGTTCCCGCCCCCGCCCCCACTTCCTGCCCGCCACCTCGCCATCCCCTGGGAGTGCAGGGGGCCGCGGCCTTCCACTCGGGCAGGACTTGTCGCCGCCGCGGAACCCTTCTCCCACTTCGCCTAGTCCTGTGAACTTGGTCGGCCCCGCCCCTGGGTGCCCGAACCCTGCAGCATCCCCTCACCCTAGGCCTCGGTTGCTTCCTCTTTCCCGCCTCTTTTGGATTTAAATTTTCGCTTGGGTGTGAACCTAAGCTCCTCTCAGTTTTCTTAGATGAATTTAATATGCTTACCCACTTTTTAACTCCCTCACCCCCTCCACCTGTAGAGAAACACTTTCCTAAACTGCACGATTCAACCTGGACCTGAGATCCTATGGAATTTAATCCTAATCCATCTAGCCATTCTTTTATTTAAAATTCAGCAATTTTTAGTAAACACTGACAGATTACTTAATGAGCCAGGACACTGCGGAGGGCGCCGAGGCGCTTGGGGAAGACGGTGGTGGACTAGTGGGTGTGTTTATCGCGCTGATGGTCTTGGGGAGACTTTGAGTGAGCAAGCATTCGCCTTGCTGTATATAGTGTGTGCGCTGATAGAGCATTAGAAAGATAACTAACACAGGTTTAATCTTTATTATTCTTATTCCCTGGTCGTAACTTTCCTGTTCGGGATCTAGGACATGTTTTAATTCTCCTTTACAGTCATTCTTGCTCTCTCATAAGTACTGTAGATCTTCCTTAAGCACCTGTTGATTTAGCCAGTCAGCAAGCTGCTAGGGGACCCATGGAATAGTGTTCCAGACTGTTTATTCTTCTTTTTTTTTTTTTTTTGGTTGCTAGACTGTTTATTCTTGCAGTAAATACTAAGACACTGTTTGCATAAAATACCACCTCCCTTGGTGATTTTTACCAAAAAATCTTTTGATTAGAGAGCTACAAAATTATCAAGTGTTTTTGTAACGTTTCTGGGAAGAGGACATTCTAGATACAAAGTAGCTTTAGAAAGATGGCAGTAAGTCCCAATTTGACAGACCTGAGCTGGTTTTGGAAGAGCCCTCTGCTGACAAGTAGGAAGAGGACTGTAGATTACAAAGGGGCTTAGATGTTTTGCTGAAGAGCTTTAACTGCATGTTTCAGAGCAGTGGTTTTCAATCTGGGATAGTTGGTGCCCAGGAGTGCCAAGGGATGCACCTGCCCATATAGCTTTAGAAGAATCAATTTCCAGATAGTCAGCCTCTAAATACTCTTCTAAAGTAGACTTTACAAAAGAGAGAGAGAGAGAGAAGTGGGGTCCTATCCTTCACAATCAAATTTTACTATATTGTCAGAGTGTAAAAAATGTCAGGTACCACACATACAATCAGGTCTTTTAGTAGCTGATTGCTTTGTTTTACAAACCCAGAAGACTTCCTGTCTTCCCCTGTCTCATATATATTACTCTTAGAATGAAGCTTGTACCTTGTTGGGGAACACAGCAGTTAGATGTGACTGCATTTATTGGAACCTTGGTTTTTTCAAGCTGTAATGGATAAGACGTGTATAAACATTTTTAAGAGATTTTATTTTAATATAGGCTGATACTTGAATCAGGTCTTGAAATATTTATTTCAGATATTTACTTTGTCATATAATGTAATATTTGTAGGTTCCTGGAATTAAGATTTATCCTGGGGCGAAAGTCTTGGGGGTGGGGGGGGGAGGGTGGGCCATATAGCCCACTACAATGACTAAATCTTGGTTTCCTTAACAGAGTTGAAGTTCATAATGTTTCCAGTCCATATTCAGATTAGTTAACTTCATTCTTAATATGAAACTTTTAATATTTTTCTACCTTCCTTAACAAAAAAATAAACTTGTTTGAATTTGTGATGAAAAATTTCAGGTGTTATCTTTAAGGTGAGCAAAGAATACATGGTTTTAGGGCTACATGAGTAAAACCATTTGAAGAGTATGTTGCCAGAAATCTATGGAAGGATGATAATAATTGCATCAGTGGTCTCTAAAAGTTGGCATCTAGGTTTCTGATTTTTGTGACCAACTTTGTGGTGATAGAGGAGTAACTATGGGGAGAATTGGCACTTTGAGGAGAAAGAAAGAGGAGTTTCATTTTGGACATGCTGAGTTGAGGTGCCTGCTGCACATGCAGCAGGACAGGCCCAGGATGTGGAAGGGCCCAGGATGTAGCTCTTTTGCTCTGGAACTCACTACAGAGGTCTGCAGTATGATAGGAAATTGAAAAGGTAGAGGTCCTGTCAATAGGATGGAAGAGGTTGCTCTGGTAGAGTTTATGGTAACAATTGTAGCTACTACTTACTTAGCATTTATTATGTGCCATATGAAATGAGAAAACTAATTTTGACCATATTAGAGATTAAAATGCTCATTTAGAAATAATAAACCAATTGCAAGTTAGCATAAGTCACATTTTTAAAGTACGAAATTTATTTCAGGAGGATTAAAGGGAAGAGTGGCATTGTTTTTGCCTGTCTGTTAAAATGTCTGACTTAATAGAAGACAATGGATTTTCATTTCCATTTCTGCCCTCATTTAATTGTAATGTTGTTTTGATTGAATTATGAAGAATCCAAACTCAAGTTCATGGTGACAGATAGTTTTGCCAGAATTCTAATTTTTCTCTTGTAGCTCAATTTTATTGTTGGCAACAAATAATGTCAGTTGTGCTCCTGAAGTGATGGGCTTACTTTGTTTTATTTTCTAGTAAGTGCCTGCCAAATACCAAAGTCTGAATAACCATCAGTTGTGTGTAACTTACTCTTTCATGTAAACATTTTCCACAGGAAAATCTTGCAATTCAAAACACTCAAGTGCTTTACTTAGAAACAAACATCATCTTCTGTGTATCAGATAAGTGTCTTACTTCTCACACCATATACAATAGTAAACAGGTATACTCAAGGGTTGAGACTTAATATAATTTTTACTGTGTTGTTCAAGGCCATTCTCAAGTAAAAGCTGACATCCCTTCACTAAGCAGTGAAGAATCTTACTTGGTGCCATTGTCTGGGCTTCTGTACTGCCTAATCATTTGATCTTCAGTGGACAGGTCAGCACAATAAAAGAAAAGCACAGTAAGAAAAGTTTTATTATGAAAATAGTTTACTTAGCAGAACCTTTCAAAGTGTCTACAAGGTCTGGGGACCATTATGGAAAACCACTGCTGTAGAGCTCACCTGAGCAGGAGTGAAAGGCTTGTCTCTGAAGCTGATTAGTCACTAACCACATTGAGCCTTTAACCCTTCACTTTTCAGTAATTTGTAATTTGTAGTAATTTATCTCCCTCAGCTCTGTCTGCCATAAACTGGGTTTGCTAACTCTTCAGCGTTACTGAACTGTGTTCTACAAGCAGTTCCCACTTGAACTTGTGCTTATGATTAGGGTATTGACCACCTGTTCTCAAAAGAGCTTTGCAGAAACCCATTGCTCCTCCAATTTTCTTTGGGGGGGACTTAGCTTGGCATTTATCTCGCAAAAGAAAATAGCTCTGGTCCTGTATTCCTCCCCATCCTGTTTGGTTCTGGGTAATTCATTTCAATCTTTTAACATACCTTTTGAACAATTAAAAGTGATCTTATCGGGCCCTCCCTGGTGGCGCAGCGGGTTAAAGCACTGCACTGAGAATCTAAAGCCACTTCCACATGAGTTCGATTCCCGCCTGCCCCGGAGGTGACCACATGGCGTGGCAGACCTCTCCTGACCCGCGCGCTCCTCCCCTCAGCAGTGTACTTCGTCAATCTGCCTGTTCTGCTTCCCACTCTGTCCCTGGTGAATCCTCTCACCCTCCGCATCTCTGGTCTGTACCCCAGTTCTGTTCAAATAAAAAAAAAAAGTGATCTTATCTGAGATGCTGTGAACTGTAGACTCTGAACCATTTCTGATAGCCTGAGTTCTCCTTGTGACCCGAGGGAACACTAGATGAAGGAGGAAAAGGAAACTGCAGATCCTAAGAGGCACACACACTCCTGTAATATAGGAGAGTGGTTTAATCAGCGGGTAATGAATAATTGCTTTCTGCAGAAACCTTGTCCGAGTTGGCTGGGCCTAGCCCCTGGAGACTTGATCATTTAAAACAAGAGCCATAGATTTTTTCACAAAGGCTGCTCATCATTCATGCTCACTGAAGGAGAAAACTTGAGGCACAATTACTGCACACATCTGGGAGCTGGAAAGAGAAGGGTAGTTCCTGATGAGCAGAATGCTGAGATTCCTGAGACTAGATACGTCAGAATGGTGTAGGCCAGAGTCGGGCATGTAGGTCAGGACACTCCTGCACAGTCCTGCATTTAGTGGAGGGACAGGTGTGTAGGAGATAGACTGGGCCAACCCGGTGTGTAAATTGAAAGGGATGTTTGAGGAGACCTGGGTGCTACTGTTGAGGAGGAGCCCAAGGTAAGGCAGTGTGGCTATAACAGATATGCAGGGATTCCCATGTCAGCCGTCATGGAGCTTATGACGCATGTCCACATGAACAGAGGACAGTGCTAAAAGACACCTTTGCAAAGTTTCAAATTAGAACAGATATTCATGATATACACAACAGATATTTATGAAGAGGGGTGTGACTTGAGCCAGACCTGGAAAAGGAAAATAAAAGAATTCAGAAAGACAACACTTAGTGAAGGTCTGCATAAAGATTTGAAAGGTTTTTCCCAGGAGTTTAGTATAAAGGCATCACAGTTCATAAAGAAGTTCAAGGTGGAATGGAATGGAAATTAACCTTAAAATTCTGAAGCCAGACTACTTTGGGGTCAACCCTGGCCCTATTCCAGACCAACTGAAGTGGGGCTTGGGAATCTGCACCCCAGGTTATTCTGATGTATGTGCTTTGGTGGGCTGCTGAGAAATTTACTGAGGACGCATGGAACGTTTTTGGAAAGGGAGT